ATATATATATATATATATATATATATATATATATATATATATATAGCCTGGTAGAGATATAGATATTATAGACTTATATTGACCTTATTTCACTTAAAGACTTTGGATTTGAAGGATTTTACTTCACCTTGTGAATACTTGAGTATTTCCCACATTGTTAATATTTGGTCCCCCCCCCATCCTCATGTTTTACGGGGTTGCGCAGACAGTTTTATTTTTCCAAAGGGGGGCCCGACAAATAATGTTTAAGAACCAATGGCCCAGAATTTATTGTCAGGGGAAGTAACGTAAAGGTCATGGATGTTTTCACTTACTGATGTTAAATTAATCTAGAACCATGTTTGTGAAGTCAAGAGAGTTTTTCTGTCTACTCAGAAAGGAGTCTGCATAACTGATAACTTCTGATGACTTCAGATCTGTGAGCTGTGCAACAGAGGTTGTGTTGACCTCTCTTTGTGTTATAAGCATTATAAGTAGACGTCTAAATGCTGGCTGCGGGCAGACCTTGTGACCAGAGCTTCGTGTACCATCAATGTAAGCCTGTTTTCAATTCTGCCTCCTTGCAAGTAAAACTGGGTTGAAAGATCTTCTCACATTCTCAGTGTGGCTTATTTGATTAATGAGATTATTATAGGATAATTATTTTATCCAACATTTATTTAAACTTTAAGAAAGTAGTCACTGTCTTTTCATCTTCAACTGATGAAGTGTTGGAGTCAAACATGTTGAAAATGAGCAGATCACTTTTAGCCAACAGAACACTGGCTACAACTCAGTGGACAGATGACTGAGGTAGTAGTAGCTGAGAGTCATTCACAACACAAAGTCATGCTGAATTGTATGAGATCGTACAGACTGTTTTTATTTCAAGGTTTGGCCAAAAAGGCTGGCTATCATTTTTCAGAATGATATGCTCTTAGAAAACTCAATTGTTAAAAATAAAACTTCAAAAGAACTGCATAAAGAGCTCTACAGTGACTGGTCTGAATGACTATCGGCCAGTGGCCCTCACCCCAATAGTCACTAAATGCTTCGAAAAACTGGTCATGACACACATCAAAACAACCATCAACATCAACGAGGACCCTCATCAGTATGCATACCGTGAGAATCGATCAACAGAGGACGCCATCTCCTCTGTAGTCCACACTGCTCTCACCCACTTGGAGTAGAAAGACTCCTACGTCTGTATGCTCTTTGTGGACTTCACATCTGCCTTCAACACCATGATCCCCCAAATCCTGATAGACAAACTATTCACACTAGGACTAAGCCTCTCCATTTGCAACTGGGTACAAGACTTCTTAACAAACAGACCACAGTCTGTGAGGATCCACAACTTGTCCTACTCCACCATAACCCTCAGCACTGGCTCCCCTCAGGGATGTGTGTTGAGCCCTCTTCTGTTCGCTCTGCTCACATATGACTGTACACCTACCCATCCAGGCTATCATATTGTAAAGTTTGCAGATGATACAGCGGTGGTGGGATGCATCACAAACAATGGTGAGTCCAGCTACAGGCAGGAGGTGGAACACCTGGAGAGCTGGTGCAAATAGAATAACCTTCACATCAGTAGCTATGTTTACATGCGCAGAATTCTTTGACCGGATTGAAATGTGTTCTGTTTGAATAATTCAAATGTATTGTTTACATGGGCCCAATCTGTTCATGATGAGCGTTTACATGCAGCGGGCTTTGTTCTGAACAACAGTACTGACATACGCAGAGTGGTAAACTCTCCTTAAAAAAAACACCGAAGAAGAAGTTCTACTTCCGGGTGAACGTAAACAAACCTGAGCACCCAAAATGGACCCGCGACAGGTTTTAATGATGGTGGAGACGTTACTGCACTCCCTGACTGAGCTACAGGTAATAGAAATAATTTTGAGCTCTTTAAAAGTTTCTAGTAGAAATGTTGTTTCGCTCACCGACCAGTTTTACTTCCCTGACATGCTAATATTATTAGCGTTAGCCAGGCGGAAATGGCAAAGTCGCACATGCGCAGTCAGGTCAGTTTTTTACGATCAGATAAAAACGAACAGATCAAGCGTTTACATGCGCACCGATCGGGTTACGGATCGGCATAAACCACCCGTTTCGTTCTGATCAGAAATTATAACGGATCGCGCCGAATACACAAAAAATAACCCGAACGGAGTGTTTACATGACCCACTTTTATTCCGACCGGCCATTTGATCCGGTTACTTATGTCCATGTAAACATACCCAGTGTGAAGAAGACAAAGGAGATGATCGTGGACTTCAGAAAGAACAAACTCCCCTACACCCCCCTGAACATAAGAGGCTCAGCGGTGGAAGTGGTCTCCAGTTACAAGTACTTGGGTGTACACATGAATGACAACCTCAGCTGGGGCAACAACACTACCAGCCTAATCAAGAAAGCTCATCAGACTCTGCTTCCTCAAGCAGGTGACGAGCTGGTATGGGAATCTCAGTCCTCACCTCCTTCTACAGGTGTGCAGTGGAGAGCATCCTGTGCTCCAGCATCAACGTGTGGCATGGAGGCTGCACAGCTGCAGAAAGAAAAGCTTTGCAGAGAGTGGTGAAGGCTGCACAGAAAACTGTTGGAGTCAGCCTCCAAACCATCACAGTACACCTCCAGATGCAGGAAGAGGGCCACCTGCATCATGAAGGACCCCACTCACCCAGCACACACACTTTTTGCCCCGCTCCCCTCAGGAAGGAGGTTAAGGAGCATTAAGTGTAGAACCACTAGACTGAGGAACAGCTTCTACCCGGACGCTGTTAGACTCATGAATCTCTAACCAGAATAATCACTGTGGAAAATCACAACATGTTGCTGCTGATCTGTTTCATGTTGCTGTGTTCATGTGTGCTCATCTGTTTCGTGCTGCTGTTTGACGTAATGTTTTAATGCTATTAGTGCTTAGTGTAAATTTAGTTGATGTTTTTCTTAGTTCATATCTTAGATCTTGTTACTGTTTTTCTTTTACATTTTATTGTTGGTTATAACTGGGACCCTGTGTACATAATCTCATTCCACCACATGTACCACATGAGATGCGAATGACAAATAAATCTCTCTGAATCTCTGCATAAACGTTAAATAACTAACATTTTTGCTGTTTTTGGTTGAAATAGAAATCAACTGGCCTCATTGGTAGTTAATTTAGTTAGACAAACAGCTCATAATAATATTTTTTAAAAAGCTATTAGCTTAATAATGGAACAAATGAAAAAAGTCAAACTGTGGAATATGCAAGACAAAAGTACAAAGCTGACTCTGATGTTTGGATAAAATTCAAACATTTCATAAACTGAGGTTTGTGTAAGAGCTTTTAAAGCAATGCTTCCCAAATAGCAACTGTTTACGTCTTATCTTTAGTGTAAACTCATAAACTCCAAGTATCTTCCTCCTTGTCTGAAGACAAGAAATTACAGCACTAAAATCCAGATTTCATCAGCATACACTGTGAGCCAACATGAACGTGAAGAACAGGACAGAGTGTCTGACATGTCAGAGAGGATCCTCCAGCAGAAAGGCACATCTGGACAACATCAGTCACTGAAGTGACAGTTATCATTTTTACTGACACCTCTTTAAATGCTGTGCAAAGGAAAACCAGACAGTCTGAACAAAGAACAGTGAAGCAGGACATCCCAGGGCTGAGACACATCCAAGCAGCAGCATGTGTCAGACCTCAGATGATAAGTGGCTGCCCAGCACTCAGAGGACGTCAACACACACTTTACACAGGAGGACGTCTCAGAGACATCTCAGATGTCAGCATCTGAATCTTCTGTTTCTACAACATGAGGTCATTTACAAGCTCTGACCTCATCCCTTCTCATCATCAAATGATTCTAGTCAAAAAATCGGATGGACTGTTGTTTAAAAAGCGACTGGTTTCTGATTCTATCTTTCACACTCTTCCATGTGGAATGACTTGGCTCTGCTGATCATTAGTGATGCAACAAAGCCCTGCCCTCTCCTCACTAATCGCAGCTCGGTCAGTCAGCAGCTGTGTGAGCCATTAGGCCAGTACTCACCCTGTTAGGACCACCACAAAGTCCATTACATTCCAGCCGTTCCGGAGGTAGGAGCCTTTGTGAAAAGCAAAGCCCAGAGCGATGATCTTGATTCCAGCTTCGAAACAAAAGATTCCAATAAAGTACGGCTCTGTGTCATCCTGAAGGGACCGAGAGAGGGAAGAGCAGGGCGGTCATTCATTTACACACACACACAGACAAACACACAGATAGGCAGACAGAGAGAAACATATATTTTATACACTTTACACAAGAAATACAAACAAGTTCTGGCAGCAAACTGTATGAAATTTTAGACACTTTTTACTCCTAAACTCATTTGAAGAGGGAAAAAAAAGTCCATGCTCAATAATCCAGGTATACAATCTAACAATTTTCAGTCAGGTCATCTGGACATCCATCCATCCATTATCTTTACCCGCTTATTCCATTTTGGGTCACGGGGGTCGGTGGTGCCCATGTCCAGCAATCACTGTGCGAGGGGCGGGGTACACCCTGGACGGGTCGCAAGTCTATCACAGGGCCACATAGAGACCAACGAGACAAACAACCATTCACTCTCACTCACACCTAGGGACAATTTAGAGTTACCAATCAGTCTAACATGCATGTTTTTTGGTCTGTGGGAGGAAACCGGAGCACCCGGACAAAACCCACACATCACGGAGAGAACATGCAAACTCCACCCTGAAAGGCCCCTGGACCGGTGTTTGAACCAAGGACCTGCTCGCTGAGAGGCAGCAGCTCTACCAGTTGCGCCACCGTGCTGCCCCGGTCATCTGGACAGTTTCTTCTTTTTTTTTCTGAAATGTTTCCCTTTCCATCCAGAAGGCTTCATCAGTCAAGGAAACACACAACACAAAACTGATTCTTCCCCCTAACAGCCTACTCCAAAATGGAACAAACCAGTTATGTTGTGTGCTAAGATGCTCTCTTTGGCACGTCCCTTCCTCTTGTGATGGCCCTCTTCCTCGACGACAGTCATGTCAAACTGGTTCAAAAAAAAAAAAGTCCATGCTCAATAATCCAGGTATAAAATCCAACAAGCCTTCCGGATAGAAGGTGAAACGTTTCAGAAAAAAAAAAAAAGAAACTGTCCAGATGACCTGACTGAAAATTGTTGGATTGTATACCTGGATTATTGAGCATGGACTTTTTTTGGTTTTGAACCAGTTTGACATGACTGTCGACAAGGAAGAGGGCCGGCACAAGAGGAATGGGAGTGCCAAAGAGACCATCTTAGCACCAACATAACTGGTTTGTTCCACTTTGGAGTAAGCTGTTTAGGGGAAGAATCTGTTTTGTGTTGTGTGTTTCCTTGACTGATGAAGCCTTCCTGGAAGGTGAAACATTTCATCAAAAAAAAGAAACTGTCCAGATGACCTGACTGAAAATTGTTGGATCATTTGAAGATGGTGTTGTTGTTTTTTTTGTTAGACTAGAATCCTTCCTGATTTTAGATGCAGGAATTAAACAAAAATAAAATGTTTGAACATGTTACGTTCTGTGTAATGGTTGCAGGGCCGTCTCCACACACTTTGAGAACATACGAGGCGCGAGAGAATAACCGAACGGCAGCCTGTTGTACTGGTACTACATCCCTTGAAAGGAGAAGCACAGAAATTTTCTGTTTTGGGATGATCGGTATGTGGAATTACGCTTCTTTCAGATCAATGGATATAAACCGATCGTTTCTCTGGATGTTGTCCAACAGTTGTCTGGTTGTCAACATGTGAAACGGTCTGTCCACGATCGCCTTGTTGAAAACTGACAGGTCCAAAATGGGTCTCGTTCCTCCAGACCGTTTTGGAACCAGGAAGTAACGTGATTAAAAACCTGTGTTTTCCTCTCCGTCGGGAACTCTGGAAATGACCTCTTTTACCAGAAGTTCCTGGACTTCTGCATTTAGGGATGAGACCTGGTCTGGTGATGACAAAACCGTCTCTAAAACTCCTCCAAACGGAGGGGGTCGAGCTGCGAATTGTAGCGTAAAACCCTTGTTTATCAGCCTGCTCATCCATCTGTCTGGCGAGCATGTCCGCTGCCACTCCGCTTAACGTTCGTGGAGTGGGCGTGCGTTTAGGTGGTGCGTCATGTTTCTTACGGACGTCTGCCAGTCTATAGCCTTGACAGCCGTCATGCATCGCGGGAGTGTTTTCCACATGACCCAAGGCGAGGCTTCCTCAAAAGGGCTGTGAGCGTGCCTCTGTGCCGCATTCAGGCTGCGGGTTCACATTCATGTCGATGTGAACCGGCGTGTGTTGAGGAGAGGTGTGCGCACCTTCATCAACGTGGCGCTGTTTGGGTGAAAGCTGCCAGGGCCGCGGGAGCGCGCATTTGACACCACTGCGGTGAGACGCGTGCTGCTCCTGCTGAGAGCGAGGTTTCTCACTGGACTCATTCTGCGGTCTCACATTTATGCTGATGCGAGCCGGTGAGCGCTGGGGAGAGGTGTGCGCGCCTTCATCAACGCAGCACTGTTTGAGTGAAGGCTACTGGCGTTGCGGGAGCGTGCGTTTGACACCGCTGCGGTGAAAAGCAAGCAGCTCGGGCTGAAAACGACTTATTCCACTGGACTCGTTCTGCGGACCACATTCGCTTTTGACTGTTGTGTCATGCGAGCATCTCGAGTTTATTTTGGTGCTGCGGTGATTCTGAAAAACCTTTTTTAAGGCCACCGGCTCATTTTGTGTGGAGGATGTGTGAAAAGCCACTATGAGGTCATCCGAGCTGACAAACAGGCTAAAATCAGACACTTTAATCTTTGAATGATGTTTTATTTCAAAGCTCGTGTCATCATTACATACATCCGCCACAAACCGTCATTTTGAATCTTCTCCCCCATGAGCTCTGCGGTTTGTTGTCCCAGGGCGCCACCTGTTGGCGATCTCAGGGAAAACGCTGAAACGCCGGTTGCCTGGATAAGAAGGGCTGATGTCTGACGGGCGGGACTGGTGGTGTAGAGGAGCGGGGAGATGCTGTTGCAGTCGTGGAACGTCGTTGTTGTTGTCTTTGCCCACGACAATCCTTCCAGCGGGCCGGGGGCGGGATGAGGCGTGCGGCTTGATGAGATGGCGCACAGTCTCTGACACCTCCTCTGACTTTTTCGAGTTTTCCAGCATGTCCTTGAAATTGATCCCGAACAGCGCGTCCGTCGCTGATGGGGCCCTCCAACAAAAAGCCTTCTGTAGCTCCTCCGAAAGGGAGGGGGAGTGACGAGCCAGGTGGACCTCTGGAAAACCTCGTCCTCCGGGCTGCGATGCGAGACCGGCAGACAGCAGAAGATGCGCTCAGGTTTAGGATGACATCAGCTGCCTTGCAGAGGGAGCTCTACGTCTCCTCCAGCCTCTTTGAAACGCTGTACGCCAGCAGCGTAATGTATTGTTCGCTGCGACTGCCTGGAGCGCACACTGGTGAGCTCGGTTGGAGTGTGATGTCACCGTCTGGTCATGCTTACCCAGAGGTGCAGGACGCTGGTCCAACCTGGACATCTTTGCTCCGAAAGCCTCCGCCAGGCTCGGTTCCAGGGGGGCACAGAGGGAATTTCTGCTCGTTGAAACCCCTCCACTCTGGTGATGGGTGTGAATGTGGGAACCGGCGCTCTCAGTCTACCAGAACCGGCTGCGGCCTCGTTCCAGCAGGATGTCACTGCTGGGAAAACAAGGCCAGATGGAATCAGGACGGGGAGCCGGGGTGGAGCCCAGAAACCTTCCCGCTAGATCATCCGATCTGGGCAGGGGAAGGAGAGGGACAAATAAAAGTCCCTTCATGTCAGCTGCCTCCTGGATTATGCCGGGCAGCTCCAGAGGAGGGCACCGACGGCTGGAAGTGGTGTGGTCGTCAATGCGAAAAAGATCCGGGGGGGGGGGGGGGGGTGAGCATTCGCTCAGCCCCCCTCGTTCTGACACTACTCTCTCCAGGAGGGAGTGAGCAGCGGGGGCTGCTGCTGACGTCGACTGTTCCGGAGGAGCCATCCGATTCGCTCCGAGAGTCGGCGATAAAAGGAAAATTACAAGATGGCGTCATCCAGTGTGTAGCGACCCGCCACTGAGAAATACTCCTAGGTGCTTACCTTGAAACAAGACAGCTTGTCTGCTTCTCCTCGGGGAGGAAAACTCACCGGGGCGGCAGGAGGTTGGTGTGGCGGGGCCACAGGCAGCCTTAACAAAGCTGGTCAAGCTGGACAACTTCCCTTCTTCGTTCTTCTGACGGTGCTATTAGCTTGCTGAAGAAAAATGGGAGCCGATTACACGCTCTTAACATAATTTATATGGACCAGGTGGGGCCCACACAACAGGTGGGTGTGGACTAAATTTTTTAGTGCGATACTTTGTATGACGGGATAAACCCACCAGCAACAGCCTTAAAGGGTGAAGCCTATACGAAATAGAACCCTTTATGATAAAAAGGCATGCGCCTCAACGAAGTAAAAGCGTGCTTCCGCGGCGCCTGCAGCCTTCATTCAAATGACGCGGCGTTGATGAAGGCACGCACAGGAGAAGCACGCGTCTCACCGCAGTGGTGTCAAACGCGTGCTCCCCCAGCGCAAACAGTTTTAACACGCCTCTCCTCAACACACCGGTCCACATAGACATGAATGTGAACCCACAGCCCGAGCACGGCACAGAGGTGCACTCAGAACTCTTTCGAGGAAGCCTCACCTTGTGTCACGCGGAACACACTTCCACGGCACATGACGATGATCGGGGCGGTAGACTGGCTGACGTCCGTAAAAACATGATGTACCACCTAAACGCGCGCCCACTCCACGAACGTTACGAGGAGTGGATGCGAGCTTGCTCGCCAGACATATGGATGGCCAAGCTGATAGCAGGGGTTACACGCTGCAACTTGCAGCCCGACCCCCTCCGTTCGGAGGAGTTTTAGAGATGGTCCTGTCATCACCAGACCAGGTCTCATCCCTAAATGCAGAAGTCCAGGGGTTCCCGACGGAGAAGAAAACACAGTTTTTTTACTCACGTTACTTCCTGGTTCCTAAACGGACCGGAGGAACGAGACTGATTTTGGACCTGTCAGTTTTCAACAAGGCGATCATGGGCAGACCGCTTCACATGTTGAAAAGGGGCAGCAGTGGCACAGGCTCAGGTGTTGACGTCACTCCTGCTAATTCTGGGCTTCG